AAATGGATAGCAATGATACCTGTAAGCTCGTATAGCAGCAAAAATGAATGATAAGACGGCAAAGGCGAATAGTGCAATTTCGATGTATAGGAAGAATTGTGATTCATTCGTATGATAAGTAATAGCAAATTCTACTAAAAGTTGCTTTTCCGGATTACGCTGTATTTCGGCATGTCGGATTCGTACATATGCAGGCATTATTTGGCCATTTTTTCGAGACTAAATTAGGCCAAATCTTTTTCAGTTCTCTTTTTATAACGGAATTTGAATGTTTCTAGAAATTAAAATTTAATTCCCTATTCATTCTTAATGCATAAAAATTACAAAAATAATAGCATTTTAAAAAATTTCAGAACCTGTATCTGTACTCTAATATCGATTTTTTCCGGATAACGAATAATAGCTGAATTTTGTGCAGTGTCCAGCGAAATTGAATCAACAAAATATAATCGTCGAGTGAGGATCCATTTTGAATTAGAAAATTCATCTGGCGTTAAACGATTTACAAATTCACCATGTAATCGTATATTTTCATTTAAAATTGGTACAGCATACATTTGTTTTTGACCAGATTTATTCAAGAATGCAATAAATAAATCGCTAAAAATAGGTTGACCACCAGAAAGATGCAGTAAATGTTGAAGTTGAATGAAACATTGCATTTGATAAAATGTTCCAAAGTGAAATTTATTCTTTTGCTGTGAGCAAATATTCAGATTACTTTCACTCAGTGTTTTCATTCCAATGAAGGTACCATTTAGAGCATATTGAATTAGAATAATTTCTAAAAATGAATTTGGATGATTTATGTTGAAACTGAAACTTGCTGATATAGCAGTTTCACGTGATAGTTCAATCGATGCTTCGCTATTGTGATAAAATAAGATTGGTGTAGTTAATAATCCATTATTCCTAAAAATTATAAACTTTTTATTTTTAAATTGCTTTATTATTATTTTTTTTTTTATTATTCTAAAAATTCATCGCAATATTTAATTAATGATTAATAAAAGTAGAGTAATGTTAATCTAGTTTGTGATAGATTTTATGCAAATATTTCAGTTCAAAATTATTAAAACATCTAAAAATTTTTAAAGTTCGAAGTTATTTTATACAACAGAAAAAAAAAAGGAGATTAACTCATTTGAAAATTCTGATAAAATGTAAATTATTATCAACTGTTGAATTTGTTGAATTACCGTTTATAAATCATAGAATTAGCAATTTTTTCGAATTCCGTACATGCCGAAGCTGTTTGCATGCGATAATTTTGCAGTACACAAATGTTTGCTAAATGCTGACAAGCTTGTGTATTGCCATTTGAACAACCTTTTGTCGCTCTTCTGATATTCTTGGCTATATAGGTGGAACTCTCCTGTGACCCATTTTCAAGTTCAATCATTACAAACATTTTATTCTCTTCAACTTTTTTACATGTTTCATCATCCTAAAAAAAAGTCACAATTTTGGAATAGTTCAGAAATTTTTAAAATAAATTGAAATTAAATATTGCGTCATTTCGTTATTATAATCCTAAAGATATTTGAAGAGTTTTGTAATTTTATATTGGAAAACGAAGATTTTGTAAGAAAAAAAATTATTAATAGAACAAAGAATGTTTCAAGAAATGTTTTTTTCTTTTTTTTTTTCTTTGTCAAATTTGCATAGTTTTAAAACGAAATGGTACCTGACATTCACAGTTATCGTCTGTTTTAAGACACGGTATGCAAGTATCACCGTAAGTAGAAACTTTGTTATTAGCAGGACACTTTGCACAAGTTTCTGTCATTATAGTACCATTAGATGATATTGTTCTTTGCATGAAATGTCGAAATGGACACAAAGAACATTGAGTTTCAGTTTTTGTCATTGAACAATCAATGCAAAAGTGACCATCGCTGCTAACTTTTTTCCCTTCAATAAATTGTAACAATTTTTGCGTAAATATCAAACGTGAAAAATTTATTAATAAATTATTTGCAATGCAAGCACCGTATCAATAGATTACTTGCAATGCAAATACCGTCTCAATAGATTATTTGCAATGCAAATACCGTATCAATAGATTACTTGCAATGCAAATACCGTATCAATAGATTACTTGCAATGCAAATACCGTATCAATAGATTACTTGCAATGCAAACACCGTATCAATAGATTACTTGCAATGCAAACACCGTATCAATAGATTACTTGCAATGCAAATACCGTCTCAATAGATTACTTGCATGCAAATACCGTATCAATAGATTACTTGCAATGCAAATACCGTATCAATAGATTACTTGCAATGCAAATACCGTCTCAATAGATTACTTGCATGCAAATACCGTATCAATAGATTACTTGCAATGCAAATACCGTATCAATAGATTACTTGCAATGCAAATACCGTATCAATAGATTACTTGCAATGCAAATACCGTCTCAATAGATTACTTGCATGCAAATACCGTATCAATAGATTACTTGCAATGCAAATACCGTATCAATAGATTACTTGCAATGCAAATACCGTATCAATAGATTACTTGCAATGCAAATACCGTCTCAATAGATTACTTGCATGCAAATACCGTATCAATAGATTACTTGCATACATTTTTCAATTTGTTCGATATATATATATATTTTTTTAATACAATATAAAGCAAAAATTACACTTACCTTGTTGACATTTTTGACAGGTACCATCAGAAATTTGGATGGTTCCTGATGGACAGATACAGTATAAATGATTGAAACTAGCAATGCTATCTCCGTTACAATTGCGACATTGAAAATTTAATGAGTCAAAATAAGCAGTAGTATTAGAGCAGTTATGCGGTGTAATATAATTAAATAGCAGTGGTACATGTGCTGAATATATCACGTGCGTGAAAAATAGCGGAAGTAATAAATCAATCATCGAAATTACTTTTGATCCGGTGATAGTAGTTAATAGTAATAAAAATGATACTTCAGAGGGAATTAGTACAAATTATAAGCAGCAGATTGGATTAGTAAGAATTTTAATAATTAATATAAATATGCACAACAGTACATGAATAATGATAATGGATACAGAATAATGATTTCAAATGATCAGTTTTATGATAAAATCAACAGAAAATTATGATTTTAGTGATAATGATGCATCGTTGCAATAGTAATATACTTTCGCGGAAAACTACAGAAATTCTCATTTTAGTTACCTTGGCAACGTATCCGTGCATTTCCGAATCAATCTTAACAAATGAAGTATTCAATTATTAAATAATATAATTAAATTCATTGATGTGCATGCATAAAGTTGATAAATTGTCCCATTTCCATCTCGAAAAAAAGAAGAAAATGTTTTGAAATTGGTTTTATTTCAAAAGATAATTAATTTATTATTGTGCAATCATTTATTATTGTGAAAATCTTAAAATATATCATTATATTAAAATATGTATTTGAAAAATTGATGGGATTTTTTTTTTAGATTTTAAAGAAAAATAAATAAATGAAAGTAACTGCTAATATTATTTTGCTATAAAATTCAATTAACTTTAATTATCTAATATGTCAAATTAATTGAAATATTACTATTTTGACAAATATCAAATTCGATAACAAGATAAAGTATTTTTTATAATAAGATATAAATTTCAAGACTGCTTTGTAAATATGTTAAATTCCATACAAATGAAGCATTCAGTATAATTAATGTAATTTTATTTAAAATATTTTTATCAAGTGTGGCTTAATTTGATAATAAATTGATCATATTTAATGTATGGTCAGTAATTTCCTACTGATAAACTAATCAGTATATGAAGTGTTATCAGTTGAAGTACTTATGATAAGATTAACATATGATATGCATTTGTTGTTCTAAACAAGCAAATTATGACAATGTTAAGGTGTCAATAAAGCAGTGTTTAATTTTTAATTTTAATTTTTTATGGAAAATCTTAATGGTAGCATACCTGAATGACAGAAAGTGTGAGAGAATATTGAAATAATAATGGATTACAGTTATAACAGAGAATGAGAGGAAAAAAAAGAAAAGAATAAACAAATAAAAGATGAAACATAGATTAAAAAAATTAAAAAGATAAATGAAATACTACGATCATTATTACTGTCAAAGATTATATAATAAAGCGTAGACAAAGAGAGAGAATAGAAATATTTAAGATAAATTATTAATTAATGATTACAGATTGTAAAAACTGATAAGAATTAACAAGAATATTATTACTTACTGTATTAAAAGTTAGAAAAATTTTTTTTTTGTTACTGATAACATTGAAAAAATATTGATATAAATGATAAGAAATAAATATCATTTGGAATAATAGCAAATTAGTTATGAATAATAGTAAAATTAATACAGAAATCAGTTATGAATATTATTTTTAGCAAATCATGAGAGAGAAAAAAACAGAAACAAAATATCGTTATTATAGAAGAGACGACAAAGATTGAGAAAAAATAGCAAAATAAACGTCAAAATATGAGAAATTGAAGACGTAGTGGTATACGTACGAGTTGCGATTGACTTCGATGTTATTTTTATTTGTTGCATTTTTATCAATTATTTTTAAACTTATAAAGTTTATGTGTAGAGTTTTGATAAGAAATGAGATTATACGTGTACCACGTGACACGTGATTTTATCAGAATGGCTGTAGAAATTTCGTGTATGCAAATTGAGATATAATTTCATCGCAATTATTATACACGTTTACATGACACGTAATTTCATCAGAATGACTATAGAATTTAAGCGTATACGACATAACACGTAATTTCATCAGTATATGAAGTTTTGAAGAAAAATCATATTTAAAAAAAAAAAAAAATTAAAAATAGAAAATGTCTTAATAGAAGGTATTACGGATTATGTTTCATTTATCATCTAAAATAGGTTTTTTTTTTTTTTATTCTGACAAATTTTTTCTCCTGGTTTGAACGATTTCTACGTTTGATTATTTTATACAAGAAAAAACGATGAAATTTCAGGGTAACAATGACAACTTCATGTTTGGTAAAAAATTTGAAAGCTGTAACCAATTTGGCACCACTTCCGATAATTACTTGGGACCGTGCAGAGCGTATACGACGAAATAAGGAGATTTGGGACAATAAAGATTCTATTGTACATCGTTTACCTTATCATTATAAGAAACGATACTGGGAGGTATGATTTTGTGTTTGATTTGAGAAAAACTTATTAAATTTATTTGAAATAGAGGTAGTGAAATGGTATCCATAAGTATGAGAATGAACAAATTAATGTGATCTTCATTATACTTAAGCAAAAATTTGATGTGTTAGTAAAATTCATGAATTTGTTAAATAAAATAGATAATGCAGATGAAAATGCGTAGGTAGAAAAAATGCTTAATTTTGCACATATATATATATATATATTTTTATTTTAATACTTTTCCAAAATGAAATATTATGTTATAAAATACTCTGTAGTTAGGTTGTTCAGATTATGATTTATTTTTTATTGTTTGCAGTTTGTACTTAGTGAAGCGAAACCTGTACATTATCGGAAACCAACATCCAGATATGAATGGGATGCTAAACGTCGTATAATGATAGAAACTGAGGTTAGTTGCTGCATAATGTTTGTTAATTGTAAATTATGAAAATTCAGCATGCATTTTTCTTTTTTCATTTGATCTTAATTTACGCGATTTAAATTTATGCTTCTAATGAGTGATATGGTAAAATTGAGAATGTAAGGAAAACAAAATTGAACGATTTTCAAAATCTTTTCACTTGGTTTTGAAGCACTTAGTTTTTAAACTTTTTAAACTTTCTCGTCAACTTATTTTCCCTAGATTCTGAGATTTCTATAGGAGATCCTTTAAGAAACTTATTGGTATCCAAATTTTCAAAAATTTTTTCATTAGCATCAGATTTGGCATTATACATGACACATTACAGGATTACCCGATAATTGGCTTTCATCCACCAGAAGCTGATAAAGGATTATGGGGTGGTGAAACAGTGGTGAAAGGTTATATAGAATCGCGTCCCTATACTAGAAAGAAGGTAACATCAATTGGTTAGAAAATTTAAAATGATATTGAATAAATTCATTCTGCTGCTTAATTAATAAATTTATATTTCAGATTTTACCAAGGCATTGGGTGCCGCATTTTTTCTTTCCGAGTTTGAAAAAAGTTGTTGCATATTCAGAAGTTCTAGACAAGCATATGAAAATTACCATGACGGAGCGCACATGTCGTCTAATTGACCAGCATTTTGGGCTTGATTTATATTTGTTAGAAACTCCCGAAATTGATATTGCGTCAAAGTATGATTTCTTCTGTTTAAAAATCACAACTGTTAGTATTAACCAAATTTAATAATCGTAATTTAATATTTTTCAATCATGAATTGTTATAAATGAGTAAATTGTGATTTTTCAAGTTCACTTATCCACTTTTACAATAATCATAATTTCAGCATTTTGAATTCCTTCCACCAATTTTTTTCAATTTTTTTTTTTTTTTTTTTTTTTTTTTTTAACACAAAAAAATATTCTCTAGGCTTGGCAATAAATTAAAGCGTGAAATTCTTCTTGTTTTGGCGAAAGGTACTTATTATCCAAATGATCCAGAGCGGCACAATTATATAAAGGAGAAATATGCGCAGTTTGTAATACCATTAGAAGAAGCCGACTGGATTGGTTTAGATTTAAACGAAGCATGCAGGTTTGATATATGTATAAATATCGTTGTTAGTGAGTTATAATTTGGAACTGAAATGGATATGTTGGTGCATTTCGAATTTATTTAGTGTTCGATGTTTGTTTTTAAGAAAACAGAAAACAGGGTTAAATATGCATATTTTTAATGTTTGCTTTTTTTGTGTTCTGGTTTTTCTGTACAATTTAAATTTGTTTTAATATAGAAAGCAAACCTGTACTAACGTTAAATTAGCTATGCATACGATGAATGCCATTTTCAGGAAACAACAGGAAATTGAAGAAAGTATCAAACCGGTTCCAGAAAAGTATAAATTTGAGCTTGATCTAGTTAAACGATTGGCAAGTGGTGAAGAGAATCCTGATCATGATAAAATAATCAAGGAATTGGAATCAGAATCAGTTATTGGTCAAAAAACAAGGAAAATAATACAAATAGCAACACAACGGTTGAGAAAATTAGTAAATTGATTTAAAATTTGCATTGATTGTATTGATATCGATTGTTAATTGTTGATTGTGATTTTATTAATGTACGTGTAACATTATCATTATCTTTGTGGATGATATTTGTAAATAACTTCAAACAGTGGTAGGAAGTTTATGCAGTTGTAGAAATTTTGTGGTAAAAGTGCTTTTTGTTTGGAATTGTTGAAGTAATTAGGATTATTAATGATTAATGTTAGAATTTCTTAATTTTATTATTTTTTACACTATTGATCTTACTTTTATTATGGACGTTGTAACTTTATTTACTATTGTTTTATATTTCAAGTCCTTATGCATCAATATTTCCTCAAAAATTAAAAGTTTTAAAGAGAGAGAGGAAGAAAGAGAATAAATAATTTCAGTCACATATGCTTTAGAGTAATTCAACAAATCATTGCTTTTTTTCTTCATATCTATGTTCTGCTTGTCCTTCAAGTCTTTCTTTACAGCATTTCTAATTGTTAGTAATTGAAAATTTTTGTTATGTTTAGAATATTGGAGTTTTTAGAAATTTTTCAATTTTTAGGGCAAAAAATAAGAAGGAGAAGGCAATGGGAGAGTGATAAATGGTAATAAATAGAGTAGTAGTAAACAAACAGCTAGTACTAATTGTTGCTATCATTTCTTTTTTTTTTTGATGAGTTGCGTATTTAGTATTTCCTTAATTTGGTTTTAATTACATTCATAGGTTGCACTGAATGGCTAATTCAGAAAGTTATATATTGGAAGGCAAATCGGAAACAGTTATTGGAAAAGAGGAATTACGGCTGAGTGAAAATGCTATAAAACAACAGGTGGAAAGTAATGATGTGAATGTTGATCAAATTTCAAATGAAGGAAATATCACTCATATGGATAAATGTCTGTCTAAGAAACAGATGAGAAAGTTAGTTTGAGTTTTACATGAAGAATTTTAGATGTTTCGTTCATATTGTTTGAGGACTTTCTTATTTTTGTTTTCAACATAGTGAAATTTAAGATTATTTCATTGTTGCAAATATTATGCTACATATTATATTATATTATATGTAATTTTGATTAATCTCCTCTCTCTTAATATATTTCGAATAAATGTATTTTACTACATTTAATCATTTATACTTTCGTGGATATTATAGTATTGATTGATTCCTTTCTTTTTTATTTTATTTTATTTTTTTTTCAGATTGAAAAAAGAGCAAGAAAAATTATCGCACAGAAAAGATAGGCGTGCTAGAGAAAGAATGAGAAAAAAAATGAAACGTGCTGCGGAACGTGAAGCTGGTTGTGTAATACCTAAACGATCACGTATAAGGTAATAAAATTTAGCTAAAAAATTATTTCTTAAATTTTTGTGGCAATATTTTTGAACTGTTGCAATTTTATTTTATCTATAATTTCTTTGTAAAATTTTTGTTTGTTTTTTTTTTTAAATTTCATGGTTTAATATAATTTGTTCTTATAGCCGAATGGAAAATTCAAATTGTAAGCAACGAGTTGCTATTGATATGCAGTTTGAATCACTGATGCGACCAAAAGATATTCGTCATCTTTTTGTTCAGCTATCTCATGCATATGCTGTAAATCGTCGAGCTAAAAATCCTTTGCAATTCAGCGTTGTTGGCTTTTCTGGTCCTCAGAACAAAGTTTTTGTTTATTTATTTGTTTCATTTCATTGTTAAATATTAAAAAAAATATTATTAAGATCTCTATCTTCTTTAAAATATATTTTTTTTTAAAGGTAGAATTTTCTTTCTTTACAAAAATTTTATAGTTTGCTTTTGTGATGATTTGAAATGAAAATTTTATTTTTCAGCTATTTTTTGATAACCCAAACAATCATCACTGGGATGTGGTATTTGAAGAAAAACCTCTTGATGTGGTATTTGAAAAAGATGACATTGTCTATCTGACAGCAGATTCAGAAAATTCATTGCAAAAACTTGATAGTTCAAAAGTGTAGGTTTGTAATGTCTTTTTATTTTGCACTGTTTATACATTCCATAATTTTAATCTTCCTTTTTATTACTGTAGATTTAATCAAATACCAAAAAATATCTTCATCCAATTAAATTCACTCCTAATAACAGCTGTATATTTAAAATTTTCCGATGACAAGAAAAATTTGAATATGCATTTAATTTTGACACTCATTTCATTTCCATTTCCTCTTTTGGTAATTTTTGGAAATTTAAATTTTTAAATATTTTAACTCTTGTTTAATTTTTGCTACTTATTTGAATAGAAAAATATTTAGGTATGTGATTGGTGGTTTGTTAGATCACAATTCTCTCAAAGGACATTGCTTAAAATTAGCAACAGAAAAAGGATATGCGCATGCTCGATTACCTATTGCTGAATATATTATGTTACAAACACGAAAGGTGATTAAATTTTATCACTTATATCTTCTTAAAAAATATTTATCAATGATAATTGATATTACAATATTTTTAATCATATCTCTTTTGAAAGAATGTCATTTTATGATAATATTTCTATAAATTTCATTGATAATAGTATTGTAGTGTTTTTTTTTTTTTTTTAAAGTGTTGTTGAAGAATGGAAATAAAAATAGTAATATTATTGCAAAATTAAAATAATTAGCATTATGGGAATGCAATTTCATCTATTGAAACAAATAAAGTAACAAGATGGCTAATATCATGAATGATATATTATTGACTTGCATTTTGGCATGTTCAATATGCAATTGCAAAAAACAATCATGCAAATTGCAAATTGCATTATGTTGAATGGCAATCAGTTCATTAAATGATGGAAACTTTCATTTAATTTCTTAATATGAATTGCTATGCAACATTCACAATAATTTTTGTAAAAAAAAAAAGAAAAAAAAAACTTTTCTCCCTATAACATAAGTTGAGAAAAAATGTTTTTTTTTTTTGGCTACTAGAAAATTATATTCACTTATAAAAAGAAAATTCTAAAATTTCCTAGTATATTCAATATATATGTGAATGTAAATTTTACTGTTGCTTGTTTCAGGTACTAACGGTTAATCAAGTTTTTGAAATTTTATTACGCTACACGGAAAATCAGTCATGGAAGAAGTCATTTTTTGATGTGATTCCAAGAAGAAAAGGTATCATTGATAGTAGTAAATGTCAGGGAAATATGAAAAATAATGATAATATTGAAAGGCAGAAAGATAATACAACTGAAAATGCTAGTGATATCGTAGCGGAAACGATTAATGTTCAAACAATGAAAAATATTAATAGTGAGCTTATGAATAGTAATAATTAATTTAAAATAATGGAAATGGTAGTTAAGTTATTTTTCTTTCTTTTTTTAAAGGATATGTAAAGATATGTAAAACTAAGTCTAAACTCATATACTTGGATAAGTTAGATTAGATAGAGTTTAAATTGTATAAAATTATATCTTAGTATACATGTTATTTGTTTGTTAAGTTACATCAAGTTGTTATTGCATTGTAATTATATACAAATGAGAAATAAATTTTTTGAAAGTCATAACTGAACTGATGATAAGTACACATTAATAGATGAAGATGTTTCCATTTTCACTTCTCTCTCCATATAAACTTGAATTGAAGGAAATTAAATTGAATTAATTATCAAAAAATCCTCTATTTCATAACGATTTTTAACAAAGTAACGAGTGTATGGTAGATGTTAATAATGGTAATTGTTGCTATTTTACTAAACTATTCGATATTTCGCTTTTCATGAAAAATTACTGTGAAATATTCTAAACTTTCACGTGTAAGAAAGAAGGAAGATCAAGTTTATGAATTAAAGAAGAAATAAGCATAGAAATAGTTATACATTAGATAATACAGATTGAATTTTAAATTGAAATAAAATTGCAATCAAATATCAAATTAATCTATCATAATTTGCATACAAAATTAGCATTAGCTTTTATTGAATGAAAGAAGAAATTACATAAGCATAAAGTTTCTTTCATACAAAAATATGTCATCTAATTTGAAAGAATTATTAGGCATCTGCGGAAGAAAAATTTTCATTACAATCTTACATTCTATTACATATCGAACATTTGATGGATTTATAGACTGAATATAATTACAAAGTTATAAATCAACATGAAATCTACAAATTAAAGCTTTCGAATGAAGTATATTTCAGATTTGTAATATATCCAACTATTCAAATTATATTCATTGCTTCAAAAATCTTCCTTATCCTATTTTATGATTAGCAAAATGCAATAATTTTGTTAATGATTAATGAAAAGTCTAATCGACATAATTAATTCGATCAAAACTCCTCAGAAAATTCCAAAATCAATCATCATTTTTCGTTTTTTTTTTTTTTTTTTTCTAATTTCAAATCCATTTTAGCTAGCAATTTTAAGGAATATACAGCAAAAATTTACTTCATCCAATGTTAACTATTTTGAGGTAAGAATTAATGAATTAATTTTATCCGTAGAAGAGATAATTGTTAAGTTCAAACTTTGCCTCAGTCATTTTTTTTTTTTCTAATTAGATATTAATTTAGCATAAAATTTGGAGAAAATCCTAATCATTTTTTTAGCTAACGAATTACTTTTGCTAATAATAAGCGAATTATCAAGAAAAAAAAAGAAAAAAAGAGTTCCAAAGAAAATAGATAAAACATAAAATATTACAATTTTTTCTTCCTCTCTAATATGATAAAAGCATCGATTACAGTATCAGAATTTTCTCCAACAATTTTTCATCATTTTACAATTATTAATACTCTACAAACATTTCCAATTAAAATCCGAAAAAAGAATATAATGAATTAAGTGCACAGCAAAAGATACATCTCTTATGTAAATACAAGAAACATATTATCACCACGATAATCATGAAATTTCACCAGAAAATATTTTTCACACATATTACATTCATAATGATGTACTTTTAAATAATGTAATTATAGATGAACCGTATCATTTTTTACCACTGATTAATTCAAATTTTCATACTGACAAAAAATTTGAAAATAGAAACAATAAGCGATAATTAATAGCGCTCTTCTGATTATTGCTATATCAAATGATAAATCATTAATATTTTGTAGCATATTTCTATCTTCCATATTTCTTTTATGATAATATTCAATATATTATAATAAACATAATTCTATTTTAAGCATACTATATTCTTGCATAAAATTAGAGAGAGAGAGAAAAAAAAATAGTAAAATAAAGAATAGAAAAGAAAGCAATAAGCATATTTTTTTCAACTTTAAACGTACTGATGCAATGATTAAATTTGCATTCAATAAACAATTAAGCTATCGCATGATTTTGTACAAAAAGTAATCTTCTTAAAACTAAACCTATAATAATCACAGAAAAAAACCAGATAAAAATTAACTCCCAAGAATAACGATGTGATGATAATTGTAAATCATCACTACGAATTGAGGTGATAGATGTTGAAGGTAATTGAGATGAATGTGACTGAGACGATGATAGCCTATGGCGTAAATTTTCAGATGTATCAGTGGTACTATCCGTGATAACATCATTTTTCAATATCGTATCACTCGTAACAAAAAATTTTTGATCATCCATTATTTCTTGTTTTATTGCTGTTTTCTCTTCCTGCAAGGAATATCTTCAAATTCTATTCGACTTTGATACATTACTGTTAAATTTAAAATAAACTTATAAAGAGCATTAAAATTATAGCATTCATTTATAGTACCCTGCATAATATAACTTTCCAATAATCATGAATAAAGAAAATTCTGTCTCATATTATTCTGTCCGGTTATGAATTCAGTTATTCATGAAAAGAAAAAAAAAAATTCATGAAGTAAATCGAAAAAACACCTCGTCTAACTCATAAGTTAAGCTATCAGTGATAAATTACTGAATCAGATTTAAACAGAATAATGCTAACTTTTAATAATATGTAAGGATATTTTGCTGTATTTGCATAAATCCACATAAGAGCTGATCTAACTGAATTACTTAATGCTTTAAATGTTTGCTAAAATATTTAACTAACTTCAACTGAAATTTCAGTAGTCAAATGCTGCGCTTCTATAACATCTGCATTATCATCACACACTGGTTTACTTGCTAATGCATTTCGCATACAAAGACCACATTCTTTACAAACCCACTCATGACTTCTGAAATTCATTAAAAATATATCAATTTATAACATTACGCTACTTTCAAACATTTTAGTAAAAGAAAATAGAATAAACTGTATGAAATGAATATGAAAATTTCATTTCTTCTTCCATTTATTCTCCCATTTCCAAATTAAAAAAAAGAAAGGCATACAAGCATACATTTTAGCGAGCCTTCGACGTTCTTCTGATGGATACTCTAATGAGCCTAATGCACCAGCTGAATGTGTCGGCATAAAACCAATAAGAGCCAAAAGTGCAGTGCGAACTGAAATTTGCAATGAAAGAATTGCAAAATCTATCATTTGTCACAATATCCAATGTCTAAGGTTAAAAGTACCGTTAATTGATTAGTTTAGTATTATATGATTCCGCAAACAAATACTTAAGTGGAATATCTTACTAGACCATGATGGTTGCCAAGATTCAGGATGATGATCTGAAATGCTAAGGCATATCTTCTGATTTAACTGAAAGCGACCATTCGGCTGCAAACAAAGCTTTGTAAAAATTCAGTTATGATTTACACGGAAACAAAAGAACACATAAATAATTCAATAAAAGAATGTTTTTTCTCTCTCAGTATGTTTGTTAACGAAATCGTTTTGTCAAAAATCTCAGACAAAGTGAAGAAATGAGCAGTTTGAATAAATCGAAATCACAGTAACAGAATTCAAAAAGTCAAATAAAATATTTCATAAACAATTCAGCAAATCAAAATTAATATAAACTTACCGTAAGCAATATAACACTTGGCGGTTTCATTGGATAATCCACTGGTAAAAGTATTCGCCCATGATAAATACCATTCTCGAAGTCTGTATCGGCCGGTCCACGTACAGTAAAATGCCACTCGAATAAATTATCCTGACATCAATTTCTTTAATTTTACGCAAACGATATTATAAAAAGTTCAGAAATAAGAATATGATGAAATGATATGATAAGCTAAAATTATTCAGTTCATATCTGTTCTAAATTTACAACATTTCATACCAAATATAGCTCATATCATTAGCTGAACATACATTAACTAATCGAATTTTAATCCATAAACGATTAGTTTAAGAAAAAAAAGGAAAACTATATTAAAAACTTAGCGAAATCTCTCTATATCTGAATAACTAATCAAAAGTGAAGCATTAAGTTTCTACAAATGTTTCATTATTTACTTCAAGTGGTTGAGCATAATACATATCTGTTGGATTCCGTAATTCAGCTGCTTCTTTCATTAACCTCTTTACACCTGCAAAGATATATTCTTTCTTTTTTTTTTCAAAAAAAAAAAAAATATATATAAATCACAAATGAAAATATAATAACTATTTTATAAATTATAACACAAAAGGTATTAAAACTTAAAAAAAACTACAGATCGTAAGATTTATCTTCACAAATTATCAGTAACTAATCAAATGCAATGTTGTATTAATTTCTCAAATATTTAACAAGGATAAATTTTGCAGGCAAATGAAAATTAATACATTTGCAAAATCGAATACTTCTAAGAAGAAAAACGAAGCAAAGAAAAATCTCTTACCAGCACTTTTCAAGTTATATTGCGATAGATTTGAAGTCATTTTCCAGAAAATTTTGTTTTCTAAAATAATTTCTTTCAAACAATACTGTGTGCAAAAAAGAATAAAAAAATATACATATAATTATTTGAAAAAAAATCGATTTATATAATGTAAAAATTGAACAATTCACATATTAAATTTGAATATGTTATAACGAATGCAAAAAAGCTTTGAAAATGAAATTTTGACACGCAAACTACGTAAATTGCATATTAAATACGAAAAAAAAAAACTTCTAAAAATTATTAAAAATCAGTTTCTGTAATGTATTAACAAAGCAAAATTTCGTATCAAATTAGAACTATAAAAAATTAAAATTAATATTACAAACTGAATATGAACTAATTTTAAACTATATAAAACTATAAACTGATTGTAAATTGAATTATACCTGATTAATTATATATTCAATATATTGATTAAATTATATGACAGACAGATAATCACAAAAATTAATATTTTACAGTTAATTCTTTAAGTGAATTTCAAACATAATTAATCGAATTATATACGTATATAAATTTCATTAATTATATATTTAATACATTTGTTCAATACGTATTCAATATATTATATATGTTATATAATATATACAAATAACTCTTAAATTTTCGCAATTTTAATTTAATAAATGAAAGTGCTCCATTTATTATAATATGATAATGATAATAAATTGACAATAAATTATCAAATCCTAACTTTGTTAAGAAAATTTGATAATGAATATTATTTATGCCAGTTGATATTTCTAAGCTTTACTACTTACTCAGATAAACTTTGCTTATTAAATAATCCATAGACCCAATATTTTGCAATTTATTCTTTAATGTGAAGAGAAACAAAAAAAAAAAAAATTGAAATTATTTTACACCAATAATTTCAATGATAAACCATATAATACCAATAAAGTTATATAATATCAATGCGTTATACACTTTTAATATCTATTACGTATGCTATATCTAATTTGAGTTCAATTTTATATAACGGAAATATTTTCCGGATAACTAATATTGGTAAATACAAATGTTTTAAATCTTTATAGAAAAAAAAAAAATGGAAATTCACTCTACCCAATTAGAAGTTACTTATTAACTAACTAAATAATTCAATCATAATTTCAGTTAGCCGTAGAATACTGAACGTCCTTTAGTATAGAAAAACCGGAATAAAAACCAGTTTCTTCTTTATATTTTCTTCGGTTTATTTTTATTTTATTTTTATTGTTTCTTCCGGTTGTTTTATTTTCTCTCTCTCTTAAAAAATATAGGTGAAAAAAATTAGAAAAGGAAATGTTAAGATTAAATTAAGATAAAGAAGAGATATTCCAAAGATGATAATTTGAGGGTTGTGAAATTGCTGAGATGGAAACGGATAGAAACTTATCGATTAATTTAGCAATTTTAATTGATTTACTGTTCATCAATTTTTTGTTAATAAATAGAATAAAATTTAAGATAAGATATTAGTGCTAAATTGGCATATAATTAATGTATTTACCGATGGTATACATGGAGACTACTACTAATTAGCATATTAATACAATTAATTTAGGAATTAGTTATTTCCAGTGATAATTGAAATCCTAAATATATTGAAATGTATTTGAGTTGAAGTTTTTTCCATACATATAACTTTCGATTGAAATAATAGTGACATGCATCGATTATAATTTTGCAAGTTATATTGACATGTGATCGCATGTAACTTCAAAGATTTCTCGAGAGTTTCTCATTTAAGAAGAATGAATTATCTGGAAGTTTTCTTTTTTGTATTATTTCTGCCTTATTTTTTTGAATCACATAAATTTTGTATATGATTAATTCAGTGAATCGATTATATACTGAGAGAAAAAAATGTTGCAACAAATATTATTCAAACATTTTTTAATCAATTAATATTGTTATTCATGAATTACTCGGGTGGGATATGGTAGGAAGAGGAAGATGAGCAGATGATATAAAATAATTATAAAATAGTTAAACGGTTATTTTTTCTTCTATGCGTCTGAATTCCCGAATGGTTAATATTATCCCATTAACAAAATTACTAGTAATTAGTAAAGTTTTTTTTTTTTAAATTTTCAGGATGCTTAACGCAATACCTCGAAATTATTGTGTGTAAAGCATAGGGAAATTTTGATATAACACTGATATAACACGAATATATTTAATGTAGTGTTTCACAATACTTCATAAAATGACTTAGTTTCGTTTCATAAAGAAATTTAGAAGTATTTTGACAAAGTTCAAAATGTTAATTTAACATACTAATTAATACATTTCCTCTTTTGTCTTATAGAATCAGAATAGAAATGGGATTTTTTTTTCTCACTAATTATAACATCAAATAAAAATTGCAGGAATTATGATTAGTAAACGAATCATTGACGTAACGTCGTCATTAGGTGTTTCAACGAAATTTACGTCAAAAAGGCATTTTGCTTCAAAATTGTTCAAAGAAAAGTATGCAAAAACACGACCATTTAAAACACCAACAATGATTGCGATGGATAATTTCGATTTCTATTATGGACCAGTATATGGTAATCAATGGCCATCAATACGTTTAGGATTACTTACACCGAATAAATATTTTGCTGTGTTAAATAAATTTTCAAGGTCAGTTATGTGCAATTTTTCCAAAAATTATCCAGATTTTCAATGAAAAACATTCTTCAATGAATTAAATGAGAAAGCCTAGAAATACTTTTCTTTTTCTTTCTTTTTTTTTTTTTTTTAGTTTCATTTTCTTTACTTACATTGCGTTTTATGCTTTTCATTTATATCATTTAAATTCTATTTTTGAAATTTTGCTTAAGTTTGATGTAATTTCTTTCCTTCATTTTTATAGAAATCGACAGAAAAATGAAGCACAGTTAAAAGATCTAGGCGCATATAATGTTCTGGAAAAACTTCATCAAAAAGTTGATAAGAAGGATAATACACATGTAGAGTACGAAGAATATGAACCGATATCATCAAATGATACGTCGAAAACTAATGATTCGGTAATTGCACGAAAAGATTAACTGTTATAATATTTTTAATTTATGCTGTTTCGAAGTTTACAATGTTTCAAGATGTAGCATCTAATATAAAGTTAAATTCCTTGTATTGAAATTCATATATTATTGAAGAAATTTTCCATTTCAATAAAGGTTGAAAATGAATTGGATTCTATATATATGCGTGGTGAGGGAGGATTGGGACATTTTCGACAGTCTGGTGAAATTGCATCGTTAGAGGAACGAGCACATTTCAAAACTCAGTTATCGAAAGATGGAAATATCAGAAAGATTAAGTAAAATATTTTTAATGGTCATTTTTTGGTTTTGTTTCTTTTTTTTTCTCTCTGTTTGAACATATTTTTTTGTTTAATTGAAATTTCATTACTAAATTTTATGTTTGAATATTTGTGAACTTTTTATAAAACGCTATCAAGTTTGATACTTGAATAATTTATCATTAAATTTTGTATTTAAATTTAGTCAAAAGTTAAATTTAATTCATTTCAGTATCACTGGTTTTGAAGGACAATGCGTTGAGTTACCGACAAAAAGTCATGTATTAACATATCCAACTGAACTGATTGTATATTCCTTTCCAAAGGGTGATTTATCTGATTATCCACCCCCTCCGAAAGATGAAGTTGGAACTCCAGGTGAAAATTTCAATGTGTCAACATTTTTTAATATATTTTATTGAATTTATTTATTAGCTATATATATATATTTGTTTATTCGTATCCCACTATAGATACGTATATATGAAGCGTGCGTATGTTTTCTAATATACATTATTATTTTTAGGTTGGTGGCTTCTTGATGGAGGCTCACTTGCGCCCGTTCTAGCTTTGGGTTTAACCGAAGAGTCAAATGTCTTAGACATGTGTGCTGCACCAGGCGGAAAAAGTTTGTTAATTGTACAGACTGGTTTAATGAGTTAGTTATTTGCCTCATTCTGTTCCTCTATGTTATGCTGAAAATTTCTATAATTTTGGAGAATTATTTCATCAAGCTAACTAACGACAGTGGACATTTTCCATGATTTTTGATAACTTACTTTTATTTACTATAAATTAAATGCATGAAATATCATGATTATTTAATTTGAAATTAATTTGGTATTATTTTATCATAAATAAATCGTTCTTTGCTGTTTTTTACTGTTTTTCTTTTATTACTTCTGTATGTCAAGTAATGTATTTTTTTTTTAAAGCTAATTTGACATGCAATGACAATAAACAAAGCCGCTTGGGTCAGTTGCATCGAGCATTGGGACAATATATACCGGTTAATTCAGATGTTGCTAATCGAATAATATTGAAGAGAAAAGATGCATCAGTATTGGATTATTGGGATGAATGTAACACTTATGATAGGGTATGATAACTGATTTATTTCTTTTTTTTTTTTTTTGTGCATTTTGCATTAAAATAAAAGTTTTAGGGAGATGTATGCGATCAATTTATTGTTCCATTCTCTTTTATTTTAATAAAAATTTTCTTAAAATAAAAGCATCAAATGTTATAATTATTTCTTTTAAAAATCTCTGTAGTCTCTGTCTCTGTTATTACAATATTATATGTATGTTAAGGTTTTGGTGGATGCACCATGCACTTCCGATCGTTTGTCAGTAAACAGAGATGATGGTAATCTATACTCAACTCAACTAACTGAACAGCGTTTAAATTTACCAGAAGTACAAACACGAATGCTTGTGTATGTTTAAATTTGATACTATCCTTAGAGCATTTTTGTTGATTTGCTTCTCTATCTTCTCTGTCTACTAATTTTAGACTCTTTATCAAGCTTAATTTGAATGCGACATTACAGCACAGAATTGACAACTTGTAAAAAGAGAAAAAAAATTTGTAAAAATTGCTACAGTTTAATATTATTATATAAAATAAACTCTTAAATTTAACATTTAGATTTTTACTTCTTTAAGATGAGACTTTACACATAATCAGATATGCAATTCTATCATTATTATCATTCAAACTTTTTTTTTCTTTTTTAGCAATGCATTACGATCTGTTCAAGTTGGTGGTTATGTTGTTTACTCAACATGCGCATTATCTCCAGTGCAAAATGAGGGAGTTGTTGAAAATAGTGTAGCAATAGCAGATGAACATTTTGGAATAAAGGTGAAATAGTTTATACAATCTTAAAAAAAAAACTATCTTATTTTTAATTCCAAATAATAAACTATAAAGGATTAGTAAAAAGAAAACAAAAAGTTAATTGAGTTATTATTACAGGTGGTAGAGTTGTCATTGTCGCAAATGGTATCACATTTCAGAAATATATATCGATTTAGTGATAAACCTCGCAGAGGTATTCTTATACTTCCTTTTTTACCCTCTAACTGTGGTCCAATGTATATGTGTAAGTTGCAGAGGATTCAATAGGTTAATTGGTTTTGTCAACAATATTGAAAATGAATTTATACTATTTAAAAGTGGTTTATTTTATAAGAGTGCGCATTAGTCAAACTATTAGTCAGGTTAATCGAATTTGGCCAAAAAAGGTAAAAAAAAATTACCTTCCATTTATATTAGAGGACTTACTAATACAAATATAAAGCTTTGAGATTGGGCAGCCTAGAGCTAATGATGATGAATTTTTTTATTAAAAGTTGAGTTTTTTTTTGTCTTTTAATCCACTGCACAACTTATTTTTGATTTAAAAAGTAATCTACCAGATTTTATTGAAGTAGTCTGCATTACCTGTATTATTTTATAGTATATTAGCAGGTATTTTTTTGCTATGTATGTAGTTTTTGTAATTGGACGTCAAAGTTTCTTAATTTTTTGTCATCTATAACTTCTTTTGTTCCATTTTGGTCTTCGATTTTTGCCTTCTTTCAGTTGTTGATTATCATTAAAATGTTATTGATTATTTTATTTACAATATCATTATCATATATTTTGCAAAGGAAGCATTATATGTATTATAAGACCAGAAATTTTTATCACTTAGAAGTATTATCACTAGTCAAAACTATCACTATTTGTTAAATCAATATGCTAAGACGATCAGTAACTATTTGTCACTAGTAATAATTAAAATTCGATATAAATGATAATAACTATATCACTTAACGATAGAACGAAGTATGAGAAATACAGTATTAGAGGATTTACTTTTGTAGAAAAAATAAATATTATTGAAAGTCAGCAGATATGTATGAAATAGAATGATCTATCTGTATCTATTTAAATATTAAATAATTTTAATTAATGTAGACCCGTATTTTGATGTGTAATTACAATCAATGGGAAAGAAATGGAAAAAATTTGAGGTAGTGATAAAATTTTTTAGAAGATATTTTGGAATTTATTACTTTGAAATATATAAAATAAGAAGAAAAAGAATGATAAATAATATCATTTTACTGAGAATATTTTTTTTTTTTTTTTTAGTAATTCATTTATTTGCCAAAGGAAAAAGACATTAAAATTTTTTCAAAAGAAAAGGTAATTTTTCTTAAATGATTTTTCACTAAATTTCTTACCAATCACCGTACAAATTATGATTCGTTTCTAAGTGTTCACGGAAACAGTCACGTATTTGACGGAAATTACTTAAGCAGAACAAATATTTACTGTAATCAGTTGGTACTCCATTAGTTGTTTCACAATAAATTTGACATGCTGGTCGAACTCCTTTTCTAATACAACAAGCAGTATGATTTTGTCTTGATGAAGCACAATCCCACATTTGACCAACTGTTGGACCACGTGATTGACAAATTAATAAATAAATGAGAATCTAAAAAAACTTTGAATTTATTACAAATATTTTGCTTATTTATTTATTTATTTCTTAATTACTACACTAATTTATTAGCTCGTAAAGTATCTTAAAATAATATTATTTCTATCTTATTATTTTTTTCTATCTAAGTAGTAATTAAAACTAAACTTAGGAAAATGCAATTTAAAGGATTCAAAATTAAATATTAAATTTCGTTATCTATATCTTATTTTTAGATTTTTATTATTTTCATTATGAAGGGAAATTCAATTTTCTTTTTTTTGTTTTTGTATTTTAAATGGTATGAATTACTAAATTTCAGTCTTAATTCTTGACCTTTTTTTGTTTTTTTTTTTTTTTTTTTTTTTAAAAAATTTTACACTTATAACAAACTAATTCAAATTTATGGTTTTTTTTTTTTTTAAAAAATATTTGAAAAAGAAACCGTTCGAGGTTCTAATGCATCAAACCCACAAAAATGTTTCTTGCATTCTGTATCTGCTTCATTTAACCTGGAGCAACATTTCTTTAGACGTTGTTCAGCATTTGATAACGATGGATCAGTAGTGATAATTGATTGATAGGTATTCCAGAGTGGAAAAAGTTGATCAAATTTTTCCTGTTCAATAATATTTGAAGTTAATGATTGTTGGTTGGTGATATTTTTGTATGGTAAACTTTGAGAATTAAGTGATGGTTGAATGATAATTGACTGATTGCTTGTTGAAATATATTGCTGTACATTAAGCGGAAACTGTTGTTGTTGTTCTTGCGCATTAGGCGGAAATTGCTGTTGCGATTGTTGCATATTAGGCGCGAATTGTTGCTGTTTTTGTTGCAATAATGGCGTTATTTGTCCAGAAATGATCTGTTGTGGTGATGATGATTGATCAATTAAATGTGTAGTATACATTTTCATTAAAATTTGTTCTTTGTTCTGTTGTTGTTTTTGTTTTTGTTTTTGTTGTTGATTGTGATAATATACCGGTAAATTACGCATCCTAGTTTTTAATTCGGTAATTTGTTTGCTATTCATAGTTGAATGACGTGTTGGGTAAATATTTACTGCTGCACTAATATTATTATTTGATTGTTCCTGCGACAATAACTGCGCAATGGGATAATTATTGTTCAAGTTAATATTATCCTGTTGTTGTTGTTGAGCAATTAAATTTGACCAATATGTACAAATGATTACAATTATCAATGATAGCATAATAATCCTGAAAATAAAAATAATAAGTTCAAAAAAAAAAAATTTAACTTGAAATTGATTTTCTACTAATATGTTTCTGCATTTTAAGTTAAAAAAAATTCTGGATAAAATAGTAGAGTGGAATTTAAATGATCAAATTTGTATTACTGTTAAAATGATTAAAATTAAATAATTGAATTGCATTACTATTAAATTATTTAGAATGTGAAAATTTATTGAAATTCATTGAAATTTATTGCAGAAAATTTTTTTTTTTTTGTTTTTCAATAATATTTGTATTTATTAATTTTCAATAAATTTGTTGAAATTTTGCTATAGCAATAATTTTTGTTTCTATTATTCAATTAATTTTAACATTGATCATTGTAAGATAAGAAATGATTATAATAATATTAGAAATGCTTTACATACAAAAATTCACAAATCAATTATATTTCAATTAAATTTAGTTTATAGTTAATTTATATTTCAAGCAAAAAAAAAAAAAAAAAAAATTGAAATGAAATGGAAGCAGTGATTTTAAATTTGATATAATTTAAATTATTCATCCGATAAGATTGAATGGAAGAAAAAAAGAATTAAATGCTATGAAATAATTAATTGGCAAATTGAAGAAACGAACAATACAAAAGGATGAACGAATTGTTACAATTGAATGATATGAATTCAATTAGTTTTATCTGAAATGAAATTAGAAATTCGGTCATTTTAATAAAAATATTTTGCGAAATTTTATATTGGATAGATAAAATGATAAAATCATTTTATCAGATGAAAGAATGGGATGAAGTAGAGAATTGAAGTAGAGAAAATGTTTAATGATAGAAATTGGAAAAGGAAAAATATTTAATTGCAATTTTGATTGTTAATTATTTATTCCAGAATTCGATTTATCATTTTCTTTTTGAATGTTATTTATTACATTATTTAAAATTAACAATCTTTAAAATTGATATATTAAAATTAGCAAAATTATCATTTATCTTGTTTTAAGTGAAATTGATAAATTGAGTAATTAGTCTAAGATTTAAATAATTAGTCTAAAATTTTGCTGAATAATCATTAAATATGTTTCATATGTGATTAAGTGATAACATATTTATATTTAACTGATAAGATGATTATGTACAAATATATATTTGATATTTAAATGCTTTTATACAATAAATATTACTGAATAACAATGTAATTTCAATAATATTAAATGATTTATGTATATTATATTAGCAACAAGAAAATATATTAGGTTTAATTTTCATTTATTATTATTTTTATCCAACATATGAATGAATTTTATACATTCAATTAAAGTTATCACTAATTATGTGCAAATATTTTGTCATCAAATGAATAAAAAAGTTGAAATCTTTACAGAATTAAGAAAAATTGTATAAAAATCAGAATTTGCAAATAGTAAATCTGTTAAAAAAGATGATTTATACGGTTTAGAAATATCAATTAATCGAAATAATAAAATTATTTAAATTATTTTTAAAATGCTTTTAATTGATATACATCACCTTGCTAAATTAATGATGAATTATTGAATATTCACATAAAATTGCATAAAATTAAATATGAAATAAACATTTGTTTGTTTATTATAAAATGTATACGTAATCAAATGTTTGTTTTAAATCATTAAACAATGAATCATCATGTGAAATTGATATTTTTAAATTAAAATTGAGTCTTCGTTTTATGAATTCTTTAAAAACTATTCATTTTTCACTACTATAAATTATCATCATTAAACATATTACAAAAGATAATCAATTATTTAAAAAAAAAAAAAAAGTAACAATTAAAAAAAAGTAATAATTTTTTAAAAAAAGTGATATTAATAATGGTGTTAATAATGATAATAACAATAAAAATATTAACAACAATAATAGTAATAAAAAAAAAAAAAAATAATAATTAAAATGAGAATAAAATTAGTTAATTTTATATACACGCAAGACCAAAAAGATGAAATGTAATAAAAGTAAGCTTAAATTATAAAAAAAGAATTGAAGTATATAAATAATGAATGGTAGAGGAAGTTTTCTTTCACTCCAGTGGTTTTTTTTTTTTTTTTTTTATTAACAAAAATTTAGTTTAATTTTATAATATATATTAGAAATTGAATAAAACGAATTGAAACGAACCAAGGTATAAACATTTATTGATTCATAATTATCATATGATATCATTGTTATTATCGTTATTATCAGCAAAATATCACTATAATCACATCATTATGATTACAAACATCATAATTGCGTAATCATTATAACGATTACAATTATCATTACAATCGTTGAATATTACTGACAGTAGTTATTATTATTATTATTATTATTATCACTATTGCTGTCACTTATTATTATTATTATCACTATTGCTATCACTTATTAATATTATTATTGTCACTATTGCTATCACTTATTAATA